ATATTGGTTTCTTCGGCCTTATGTACCATCTGCTGCAGACTGCAACTGGTGAACGCACCCAAGTGTTAGGAGAAGTACCATGTGAGGTAATAATCGACGATGTGGGCTCGTATACTAAGTTTATAGTGGCAGACATTGTGGATGGAGTCATCATTGGCGTGGATTTCTTACTTGGCCAAGGCATAAAGATTGACCTCCAGAGAATGATCCTGACAGGTCGTCACAGGAAAGTGCCACTTAGGGTTGATAACGACAGCCAGTACTGCAGCAGACGGTTATTCTTAGAGGAAGTATCGAAGATTCCACCAGAAACGGAAGCGGTTAGTTGGGCGGAGGTTGGCAGTGATAGAGACGGAGTGGTTTCGTCAGGAAAAGGAAGCGGTTCACCGATACAGGAAAAACGTGACGGTTCCGCCATCTCAGTGAAGAAGAGGTGGCAACAAGGAAGTGGTCATGGCGAGCCAGGCAGTGTTTCCGGCAGGAGGAAAGCCACTGAACCACGTTGCAATGGTGATACGCCGGTGGCCGGAAATGGAAGTGGCTGTTGAAGCAGTAGGCGCGCTTTGAAGTTTCCCGAAAAAGATGGTCGGCAAAGGCGAGCAGTTAAGCCGGAAGCCAAGGGTGAGATTATAAATGTCCAGTCAATGAAGTTAGCATCGGCGGAAGAGCGAGATACGAAAGGACGGCGGAGGCCTCAGCGTAAGGATCCAGATGTAGTAAAATGTGCTAACGGCAGTGCAGCACGAAGGCGGGAGTCTGGGTATCATGGACAGATGATGCGGCATAGATCTGGCGAAAAGGGTGCCCACGAGAAGAGACATGGTCTGGTCACCACCAGTGGCCGGCAGAAGCACGACCATCTGAGATGGTGCACTCCCGGAGATAAGCCGGAAGCAATGTCCAGTAACGCATGGTGGTTGTACATGTCGCAGCAGAAGAAAAGCTTCAACTCCAAGCAAACACGTGACTGGAAAGATTCGAAAATTGGCAAACGGCTGAAGGACGCAGTGCATCACATCCAGACAATGGAAGACCGAGGAGCAAGATGAAAGTGGTCCACTTGGAAAGACTTGCAGCGGTTGGAGCGGCAAGTATGTCTGATCGGGACGATCAGACTTAGGTGGAGGGCAGTGTGGCGAATACTGCGGCAACACAAAGCGAACGACGAGAAATAGGCAGAATGTTCGAGGAATGACGTAAATGTTGTTGGATGAACACTGCGAGCAGCGAGAGAAAGAGAATGAGCGATAAACTTCAGAATGATCTAGAGTTGCCATAAGTGCCAGCGCAGGTATATAAGGGCGCCGCCACAGCGAGGTGAGTTAGATACAAGTCAGCAAGCTACAAGTAAAGTGAGCAGAGAAGTGAGTTGCAAATAAGCAAGCTATAAGTTTAATTGTGTTAACAAATTAAGTTAAGCGTTGTTATTGCTTTAACAAGTACTGTAAAATGTGTTTACTGTATTAGCGAGTATTGTAAATTGTTTGTTGTACAATAAAGTTAATTGTACTACCATTTGGTCATCGTGAGCATTTATTTAACAATCCAACGATACGAGCCCGAGTATATTTGGGAAATTCGGACGAGGTTTCAAGGATAATCGTAATAATATGTTAACCTCATGATCCAACTACACAAGATCTGACAAGATGGACCAGAAGAAAAAAGTAATTTTCTGGATGACGTTTGTAATTTCGGCGCCATGTTATTTTCTGTGAAAAGTAAACAAAGAATATGAAAAAAAAGCATAAAGAAAAAATGCAAGCAATTTTGTAGTACATGTTTATGCTAACCACTTAATTATTTTTGTACGTGTTTTTGCAACCAATCACTGCGCACTTCATTTGAATTACATTTGCACAAAAAATAACTTAAAAATCACTGAAATAAACCACCGACAAAATACACATAAAGAAAGAAGCAAAACAGAAATAGTAAACTTCAAAATTACGAACGTCACACACTTAGTCAATTGCTATTACAAATGGCTGGTTCTCAACCGGTCAGATCTATTCTAATAGGTTCATGGTATTATACCATGTTCTGACCGACAACGAAAACATGTTTTCGTTGGTAAAACTGGTTTTCGACCTAAACTTGTGTTTTCGTCCATGTAAAATCTGTCAAACGAAAACTAGTTTTCGCTGAAAACCACTTGAAAACTCACGTTCCACTCATTCCAATCGGTGTCTGCACTAGTTTTTTTCGATTATTTATCGAAGGGGAAGTCATATTTTATCATCTTTAATACGCCATTTCGGATTTATTGTTAATTGGCTGGCAAAAGTACAATAAGAATGAAAGTAAGAGGTTGCTAATGAAAATAAAATGAGGGAAAAGCATTTTGGTTTTGTTTTTGTGTAGCAAAACTGTAATCAGATGATGTAAGAAATGTCAACGAAAACACTAACAGCCGGTGTGAACAGCCTTCAGCCCACAATCCCAAAACATGTTTTCAAAGTGTTTTCGTTGTCGGTCAGAACATGGTATTAGGGGCCAAGATACGAGTTAAACGACGTTTCCATGACAACCTAATCACGTAGTTCGCTCTTTCAAATACGAACGGCGAATCAGCCTGTTAACACGCCACATTCGTGATTCACTTTGCATCTCTGCTTCTTGTTCTTTTTGTGCTGAAGTTGCAAATTATAGCTGGAATAATTTTTACCAGCCAGAATTCGCAGGGAATATTCCAGTAAATGGTTGCATTTTTGTCGAGAATAATTTACATAAGCAGTTTCGTTAAATGTAAAAAAATATAAATGTGAGCGATTTGTTAATGAAAAAATTAAGTTAATATTTGTTTACTTAATACGAGCACCTGTCATAAATAATAATTTCGCCCAACTCATTACAACGTAATAAGCGAAACAAAAGCGACCATATATCGCACGTTTAATAATAATTGCGTAATAGAAGCAGTACGAATAGCAGGATTTACAGGAACAGCTGTTTTCGTCCTTAATAAACCTTATGTAAAGTGTCGTGCGGGAACAACTTCCTGTAAAAACCTGTAAATTCCTGCTATTCGTACTGCTTCTGGAACGCAACTAATATAACGAAGTATTTCAAAATTTCGAGTTTGTGAGATAACGCAATCAAAGTTTTATCAATTCATACAGTTGATATACAAAGCGACAGATGGAAAGACACATATCTTCGCCATATTTGGGAAGTTTGGTTATCTGTTAGACTGAACATATTTCAACCTAATATTTTTTTATAAATTAGTTAACATTAATTAGTATAAAAGTACTTTTAAACAGAAGTGTGATCTTTTAGCAACGTGTGCATGTAAAGGAAAGCGAACGCAATGTCTAAAATACGTTTGCAATAACCAAAAACATGCGAAAAAGCTCGGTGGTAATTCTCTAATCGTTTTCGAGTCGATGACGAAGTTAAATAACTACATTAGGATTCGATTCGAGAACGATTAGAGAAACCATGCAAAGTCAAAGAAATGTAAATAAGCAATATACAAAAAAAATTCAACGAAATTCCATAACAATTTTGGGCTTTTTAATTCGAATTCTTATTGATATTTTTACATGGACGTTGTTTTATAAATCTCACAGCCCCTTTTTTTCTCGTTATACATTTATCCATGTAGACCCATCAGCAAATCTTTCTTAAATGACAGTTTACTTGAAATTTTCCATTGTTGTCATTTAAACTAGAGGGTTTCGTATTTCATTTTTCTTCTACCTTAATTTGCTGCTTAGTCCCCTTTCAGACACGTCAAGTCTTGAAAGCAATTTTTTCGCCTTCTCTTTTGTGTTTTCTATTTGCTTCCACACGCGTCAACTTTAATTGAATTCAAGTCCTTAGTTCTTAAATGGGAAGCAACGAAAAGATCAAAAGAGACAAGAAAACTTGAAACGAATTGACGGTACGGAGGTATCTGTACTATTCCCTTGAAAGCAAGACTTGACGAGTCTGAAAGGGGACTTACAATGGCTTTGTTTCTTTTCTTTTCTAGCAGATAATTATCAGGAAGAAGAAGAAGGAGAAAATTGAAAGAATTACGCTCACTGAGAACGAAATAACGAAAAAGTAAAGAAACGCAAAACCAGCAGACACTAGCAAGTAATCAGCTGATCGGTGTATTTGACTAGTGAAAATATTTGGCGCGAATTTTTGTTTATCCATTTTGACAGTCATCCATTTTGACAGCCAAAAAAAGAAGAGCGTAAGAACGAGAGAGAGCTGCTAGCTTCTGCTAGTTTTATGGGTTAAGAAACGCTTTCCAGAAGAAATTTGTGATAATTAGTGATAATTATCTCTTAAGAAACAAAGTTAATGCTGTAGCAAGGATAGTATAAATAAGTTAACAACTTTAACTTAAACATTAAAAATAGCACATCATACACAAAAATCTTCATTTTGAAGATATTTTCAGTGTAAAATTTTGCTTTCTAAAAAATCGTCTTTTGAAGACTTTTCATAAAAAACAGCCCCAAAAATCTTCATTTTCAAGATAAATCTAGACTTATGGCAACGCTGGCCATGCCCTGCTTTCATATGCATATGCATATCATGAACGAAACACACAAAGTACTAAACAAACAAACAAAGTACTAGACAAAGTACTAAAACTATCGATAGTTATTTCATGTGACCAGACTATCGATACTATCCATCAGTTCATTTCACCATGGATACTATCGATAGTATCGTCGATAGTTTGACAGCTCTACCGATCAGCTGCTCGCTTCATGAACGAAACACACAAGATCACGTAAGAACAAGAGAGTCAAAAAAGTCGATTTTTTTTAGCGGGTTCTACGCCATCTTGTTTCACTGGAAAACGAGCGAAAAGTAAACAAAGCGAAGAAAACAACGAAGACCAAAATTAGCCAAAATTATTGTCAGCCACTTTAAACGCACAATTTAGGTAAAATGATGTAACAAAATGCTTTAAAATGTGTTGTCATGTTGAATTAACTCTTCTTTACTTGAATAAAAGTGTAAAATAGTGGTGATTGTGCTGTAAACAAACGCTCAGCTGACAAACCCGCTTTCGCAAACTTTTTTCTTAAAACCAGTTACAAATACAACGTCGCGTTCTTACGTTATCTTGTGTGTTTTTGGTTCATGTATGCATATGTTGCTTCAGTGCAAAACAGCTGTTTGGGGATTTGTGCTGCCATCTGTATAAAATGGATATAAAAAGATTGAGCAAAATCATGGTGCGAAACTATCTGTCAAATCATTTGACACTCATTTGAAAATTGTGGCAGTATTGTGAGCCCCTTTGTTATTTTGTATTTGCTAGCGCGCTGTTTCGTGATTTGTGCATTTAATAATTTTACATTTTAATTTTTGTCGAAAGCATGAAGAGAAGATTGCCACTGAGAAAGGTAAAAAAATGGACCCAGGATGAAATAAGTAAAATAATCGACTATATGATAGAAAATGGAAATATAGAAGTACGTATTTGCGCAATTTCTTTGTTAGCCGGGAATGTGTAATGGCAGATTGCGAAATTTTTCAGAAACCAACCGCACGAGCTTACTATGAAACA